TTCATTTATTATATATAAACACAATATCATTAAATGTATATACATAGTGAGAAAGATGATAAGAAAATACACCAAAATATTAACTATGATTCTCTTTCAGTGGTAGGATTTCATTACTTTTCACTTTTACTCTGAATTTTCTGGAAATATTCCCAGTTCTTGCTTGCAGTTGACTCAAAGTAATTTTTCTACTTTTACTCTAAATTTTCTGGAAATTTGGAAAATGACAAAAATCAGCATGTGTGATTTTCATAATTATGAAAATTGTAAAGATAGGTTCTTAAATTAGGACAACTATAATTTTCAGAAGAATAATTGAATCCAGAAAAGGTCCAAAGTTCTTAGGTAAGGTGTCTAATTAGCCCAGCTTTTAGGACTTCCACCTTTGAAGAAGTCCACTGTGACTAGAGGTGGGGTGACATGGTACTAATATAACAGCATTCACTCGATGCATGGGGGAATAATGGATAACTCCTGGAGCAAGGGTGCTGGTGGACAATTCCTTAAGCATCCACTACAGATACTCTGGCAATCCCTGGATACCCAATTTAGAGGTTACTCCTGTTGACCTTAGAATCCCCACCCTCCATTGTCCTTATGAGGTCATACTCAGCATTCACCACACAATGGTTAAGCAAAGAAATTTTTGAATTTCTGAATGTCCATGGGGTACCATGTTTATGAGGGAAGGCTGGATGCAGGAGTCATACACAGCCAGGAGTCCATATATCTACTCCTGATTGACCCAACACTGGCATACCCACATTCCTTCAGCAGTCCGTAGAATCCCACACAGGCACACTTGGATACATTCCCCTCCATCCAAATGTGGAATTCTTTTGTCTGAGATGAATGTCCTCACTCTGACCCCAAACACACACACACAGACAAACACACACACACAACCACTACTATACATGTGAAGGCTCTGCCTTCCTTAGACTGTAGCTTTTGGTCAGCAAGTGGTTCAAGAGTCATCAGGCCCTGCCTGCCTGTTAAATTTGCCACCGACCTTACTGGCTTCATGTCCTCCCTATCCTACCATCCATATTAAAGGCTCTTATCTCTTTCAGTTGGCAACCAATTATAATAATTTGGTAATTCTTTATGTCCAACGTACCCCTGTCTGTATATAACTGATTGTGCATTATTGGTGAAATTCTATAAACCATGTGCTCTATTTTTACAAATGCCACACAGTTTTCATTGGCAATCTCAAATGATTGTGCCTGCTAGACTAGTAAGGAAAATTTTCACTGTCATTTCAGTCCTTTTATTTTTGAATGACTTTGAGGGAATTATTTAAATATTCCAGTTTCTTAGCTAAAAATTGTTGCAGAGTCATTCTGGAACATGCACTTTTGTTTTCGTTTGCATATAGAACATGCAGGTTTTGTAATTCTATTTTAAGAGCTAGAGGTTAAAACAGCCTACGCATATCTGCTTGTGCCACTAGGTGGTGCACACATATGTCAGTGATCTGTAGGTTAAAGGGGCTTATCACCAGGTTAGTGTTAATTTATCACCACAGAGGTGGTACCAATAGTAGGAGCTGTAGGCGTCTGGAAACAGAGTAATCCTCCGGGCAAGAGTAAAGAAAGGAAACCCTCCCAGAGGAGATGGATTGACAGTATTCCTGGCTACAGAAATGGCAGGAGCAAAATCTTAAAGGCAAGAAACCCCAAAGATGTAGCAGGGGAAAAGTCTTGGAAAAGAAAGAGCATGTTTACTCTCCATGCTGATTAATTTCTAATCAACCGGCTTACTGCAGAGGAGTAACAGCATAGATGAAACATTTATTTGAGCTAGATGACATCGAACATTCCTTCTAGACCTTTGTTCAGGGAACTGGGGGTACACAGGTGAAATGACATAGCACTGTCCTCAAGTAGGATCAGTGAGAAAGACAAACAATGAAGACAGTACATGATACTTTCTCCTGGTGAGAAAGACAGTACATGGCAAAGACAATGAAGACAGTACATGATACTGTCTTCCTTGTCTTTCTCACTAGCATCCTCCTTGAGGATGCTAGTGAGATAGCTTTGCAAGATGCATTGGAAGAACAAAGCGTGAGATTCTGCTCTGAGGAAGGGAGATAAGGTGGTTAGGTTTGGGAGGTGGTGTTCAAAGAAGACTTCATGGAAGTCTTGAGAAGTGAAGAGATCTTCAGGAAGATTTCAAGATGGTAGACAAATGATAGCATAAGCAAAGGCATGGAGGTTTGAAAGGATAATGTCTGTGGATTTGGGGACTAGTTCAGTTGAGTTCAGCAAATACTTACTGAGGGGTACTCTGTGACATGTACTGATTTTACTAAGATTAATAATGGATGTTGTAGGCCCTTAAGATGCTCCTCATCTAGTGAGGCAGACTGATACACGCATAGAAAATCGCAATGTGAGAGGATAGTTGAAAATGTGGTCCCTTTTGAATTCTAACTATGTCCTTTGAGTCCCCAGTGTGCTGGCTACAGGTTCTCAGGGAGTTCTACACCAGAAGAGGGAGCCTGTAAGCCCACTACCTGGTTGCATTTGGCTCCCTGTCACTGATGGCATTTCAGTCTCACTTGCTCATTTTAGAGTTGCAAAGTTGGAGGCCAGAGACGGAAAGCCAGGACACAAGCCCAGGCCTGTCTGACTCTGTCAGGTTTTCTTCCCCTTTTTCTTTAAAGAATCCTAGGCATAGAGTTGCCATTTAGCAATACTTCTTAACTAGAAAAAAATACATTTCAGACAAATAGGCCATCTTCACCAACTGTGACCATCACAAAGTCAAGTGTATGTAAAAAGGACATGATGGATTCTTCCCTTATGTATGAAGAAAGTGCCAAGCCACATAGGTTGACCTTGGCAAAGGCAGCTTAAGCCAGATGTCCCACTGGCCTGGTTTTGTGTTAGAGAAGGAAGAAGGTCTGGCTCCAGCGTTCCTTCTAGCCCACATGCATGCGTGGGTGTTTCATATCAGTGCTAGGATATGTTCTTACTGTGTAGATTAGTGACATCTTAGAGTTGCATTGTTTGCTTGAAAATGTCAACTGGAATGAGTTATGAGTTGGTAGGAAGACAGGTCTGTGTGATTGAGAAGGCACCGGAGGGATCTGGAGCTCCTTTTACGTACATGAGAAGTCACTGAAGCAAGGGATAGAGAAATCTTACAGAGATTTTGACTGAAACAGATCAAAGTTAGTGAAGAAGGAGGGTGACTCTGAGGAGAGGGAGATTTGAGACCAGGTCTTATGAGTAAAGGACAAAGGACCTGGGAATATTTAGACTGGAGAGAAGGCAGTACAGATCTTCTTCAGCTCTCCAAACTATTGTCATGGACTGAAGTAGCTAGAAACAGTGATTGTGTCATCAGGAAGCAGCTTTTAACCTTGCTCAAAGTAGAGCTATCTAACCAAAAAAAATAAGTGGTTGGTTCTCTACCAAGAAAGAAGATGAAACAGAAGCAGTTCATACCTGGTGGAGACATTGAGGAGGGAGTCCCTGACCTCGTGGCAGGTCAAATCTCTGAGCTTTAAATAAGTAAAATTCATGAAAAAGTAAGAGGCATCTTATATAAACCAAGGACCAGATGTTCTGTAATAACAACATCAATACTACATAGATCTTTTTATTGAGAACCTTCTAAGTGCCAGGCATCATGCTAGATGATTTGTATGCATTGCCATATTTTGAACTTTAGAACCAGAATCAGAACTGACTAAATTTTAATCCTGACCCTGCCATTTAGTGAAGATGTCTTGGACAGACAGTTTCTCCCCTCTAAATATCATGTCCTCTCCTGTACAATTGCCAAGAGTATGAAAAAAAAATTGATACATAAAAGTACTTAGTACTGTGCCTGATCTACAGTTAGTACTTTAAGAATGTTTCTGCCTTCCCCTTTCTGCTTCAGCAGAATTTCAGGAAGCCATTCTTGGATAGAGGCAAGATAAAGAGGGAAATGCAGGGGAGGTAAAATATGGCAAGGCCTCTGCTGCACAAAATACCGGATGATTGAAAGCTCCTGTAATTTGTAACCTAGAGCAATGACTCTCAAAATGGAATTTGTTTGGACCGCTTTTAAGAAAACAGAAACAGAGATTTCCAGTATTATTTACAAAAAATCAAGTGTAGGAAAGAGAAAGAGGTCAGCAGGAGGACTGGGACTAAAGGAACGCTGACTCAAGTCTTTGAGAGGGCTGCTCACCACTTCGCCAGCTGCAGCCTCCTGTACCCACTTCTCTACCCTCAAGTTTTCATGGCATCCAGTCTAGGACATTAGCTGTGCTGTGATACGGAACAGGCCTTTTGAGATATTAATCACCTCAGCCCTTGGGGTAACCAAGGCCAGTTGCTTCCAAACATAAGCTGCCTCATCTCTATAGCCTAGTGTGCTAGACAAATATTATTCTGTGTGAATATTGTGTGGTAAAAGAAAGGGTAAGGATTCAGTTAGAAAAGGAATGGTTGGTCATCGCTAATTGAAATTTTTATACCATTATGAGCAGACTTAAGAATGAAACCAATCCAGAAATATCTTGGTTAAATAGGAGTATCTAGAGAGTGGCAGTACCACAGGCACTCAAGGCAGAGAGCATTGCCAATATATCAGACACTCAACCAGTGCAGCCAGTATGAGAAAAGGGAAATCTAAAGCTATCTGGTACAGAAGAATGAGCCCATGACTGGGAAACTGGAAAGGGACCTTCTCTGTGGCTCTAGGTGAGCCACATTCTGCTCAGGGCTTCATTTGCCATAAGTATGGTATAATTTGACTGAGAGACCTCTAAGCTCTAACCACCTATGCTTCCAAAGACAAACAAAAAACCCATTCATCCCCCTTTGTCTCTAGGGTACAAACCCTCTCTGCAGAATTGGAAGTGAGTACCACATTCACTATGATTTACCCTGCAGTATGTCCAAACATCCTCCTTGCATGTCTGCCCTGACCTGCTAAGCACAGTTTTGACTCTGGCTCAAATCAGTGCCCTCACAGTGTGTTTTCTTTTGCAGCAACAACGACAGCTTGACCTCCTGACGATAACCAGCCCTGGTGAGTAGGTGTGGCCCTTCTGCCTTGGCTTTTCCCTTATTTCCTGAATGATGCCTTGTTGCCTATCCAAATGCAATTCCTGCCCTTCTCTTTTGACTTCCTGAATGAACAGCAGAACTCTTGTGCCATGAACAATTCTTCTCCTCCCCACCCTCTGCTCCACAGGCAGTTGATTTTCTCCCTGCCAGCTCTGTGTTGCCTCTTCTTCACTATGGATGGCAGGGCTGATACTCTGGATGTTGCTGCATATTCTAGGGTGACGTTCTCTCCAAATCATTCACTGGACTCAGGTGTCAAGGAATTGTCCTGGTCTGAGAAATAAGTTTTAGAATCATGTGGAATGGAGAATCTGCTTGGAAGGTGCCATGGAAAGAAGGGAGGATGGCTCATAAGATTGGGCCAGTCTGGGAAAGTGAGCAGGTTTGGTTGGCTGTGTAGAGAGTCAAGATGACTTTTGTCTCTCACTTTTAAGGGAAGGTCAGGTCCCCCCAAAAAACTGTGACCATGACCATGGGATTAAAAGGTCTTTTTTTCCCTCTATAGCTGACATCTGTCCTAGGAGAGGCTGAGCAATTTCGTTCTTTCAGAGAGGTATTTTACTCTGGTTTGGAAACTTAAGGCAAAATTGGACAAAATGAGATACTGTTCTCTCTTATGGTCATGGGGATGATGGTGCCAGCAGGGTTAGTGAGCATTTGAGAGTTGATGTGGTGGTTATCTTCATCCATGGGTGATATTCAAAATATTTAATAGCCATCTGCTATGCTAGCATTAACACTTTGGTTACTGGACTGTGGGGAGATGGGGTCCTGGAGGAGGAGCTAGTGTGGCACTGTGGTCATACGGCAGGTTTGTGGGTCTCAGGGGATGACTAATTACTAATAAATGTGGATATGTTTCAATATGTTAGTAACCAGCATGGCTGAACTACGTCAGCCCTTCCTTCCACTAAGCCTACCATACTGTATCCATGGGCCAGTGCCTCACTTTCAAAGAGACTGAGATATTGCCCTCTGCAGTCACTATCCTAGCAATTATCTTGTCTATGTAACTAGGCTATAGAAAAGTGACTGCACCTGTAAGGTGCAGTCACTAGTTTGGGTGACCTTACTATAGCTCTATACCTGATAGAACTCTTTGAGCTTGAGACTTCAGAAGGAAAAAGATAGAACTAGTTCGAAAAAAGTTTACTCTACTCTATAGAATGATCTACATTTAACATATATATGATTAACATATATAGAAATTCCAAATCATGGGCTGACATGACTAGAGTGGCTCACTTGTATGACCTACCAATTCCTCCTAAGGTAGTGGTGAGGGATTATCTACATCCGATACAGTTTAATTGCTTGTAATTGTGTCCTGTTCTACACCACAATACACTGTCCATATTGCCTGCTTCCACATCTCAGTTTCATTGGGTCACACCCTGATATGATACCTAAGTGTGAATTGGAGAGAGTTCTTGATCTGTCTTCAGTTGCTTTAGAGGGAAATCTTCAGGCTATGTTAAGAGCATTTTTTTTGTACAACCTCTTTCTGCTCCAAATTACTACTTCACAAATTCAAGCAAAGTAGTTGTGACTCCTTAGTACACTCTGTTTAGACAGCTTTGGGACTGGAAAAAAAAATCAGCACTGCCAGAGTTTTGAGTGGTTCATTATTATCCCTCCTCTTAGAGGAGAAAATAATACATTCTGGGCCAGGGCATCCCAAAAGGCATGTTGTGGCACACTGGTGTCTTGCAGATGGACTATACTTGTGTGATATTGTGAGATATCAATTCACTCAGCTCTCAGGGACACAGGTAGGACCTAGGGCAATTGAAGTCCCCTAGGTGGTAGCTTCCACTCAGATGTGTCAGACAAATATTATCCATGTGTGCCATGACTTGGAAAGTTTAGGAAGCACCATTGGATCATGCTATTATCTGGATGACTCTATTCCATTTCAAAAGGACTTTCATTCACTATCTTGTGCTATCAAATTCACCCCCATTCTACATCTCACCAGGAGCTGCAGCAGCTAGGAGTCAGCTTGCTACCTCTCTCGGGCTGCCAATAGGAGGTACTGGCTTGTCTGAACTCCTCCCCAGACCGTCTTCAACAGAACCGCAGTGTGATGCTGCCAGCCATAGATTAGGGGCCTTCTGAAATGCTGATCAGGAGTTTGAATGCCTTAATCTGCTTGATACCTTCTTTAAAGGCTTATTTTGTTTATTGTGAATAGTTTCTTTCTTTTTTTTTTAAATTATACTTTAAGTTCTAGGGTACATGTGCACAACATGTAGGTTTGTTACATATGTATACATGTGCCATGTTGATGTGCTGCACCCATTAACTCATCATTTACATTACGTATATCTCCTAATGCTATCCTTCCCCCCGCTCCCCACAATAGGCCCCGGTGTGTGATGATCCCCTTCCTGTGTCCAAGTGATGTCATTGTTCAATTCCTACCTATGAGTGAGAACATGCGGTATTTGGTTTTCTGTTCTTGCGATAGTTTGCTGAGAATGATGGTTTCCAGCTGCATCCATGTCCCTACAAAGGACACGAACTCATCGTTTTTCATGGCTGCATAGTATTCCATGGTGTATATGTGCCACATTTTCTTAATCCAGTCTGTCACTGATGGACATTTGGGTTGGTTCCAAGTCTTTGCTATTGTGAATAGAGTCGCAATGAACATACGTGTGCATGTGTCTTTATAGCAGCATGACTTATAATCCTTTGGGTATATCCCCAGTAATGGGATGGCTGGGTCAAATGGTATTTCTAGTTCTAGATCCTTGAGGAATCGCCACACTGATATGCAGAAAAGAGTAGAGACATAATGAACAGCCATTTATTGCCCACGTGCCAACCCCTTGGCTTTGTCATATCAACATGTGCCTTATATGTCAGAGTCACCTGTTTTTGGAAAAAAAATTATAAATGTAATTGAGACTATTCTATACTCCTTCCTAGTACATCTTTGTCCCTTCACCCTACAGGTAATCACTGTCATGAATTCAATGTTTTCCTTATCTGTGTATCAAAAAATATAACTGGTATTACTTTACAAATTCCTATGGTATCACGCTATCAATGTCATTCTATGACTTTTTCCCTACTCATGATTATGTTGTAGAGATTCATTTATAGTGATACACATAGCTCTGCCTCATTTATTTTAATTGCTGTGTGATATTCCATATATGATTGAATTACAATTTATCCATTTTATTGATCAGAATTTAGGTTATTTATAGCTGCTTGTGATTGCAAACAATGCTGCTTAGAGCAATTTTGTGCATGTCTCTTTATGTATGAATATGAGAATTTCTCTAGGGAAAGCGATTTATTAATTATATGCATCTTCAAATTAACTACATAATGATCAATTGTTTTCCAAAGTAATTGAACATATTTACTCTTCCAGTAGCAGAATGTGAAAGTTTTCATTCCCCTGCAGCCTTAACACTTAAAATTGTCAGACTTACAAATTTTGCCAGTTGTCATGATGAACATGAAATGATATCTCATTGCTATTACAATATATGTTTCCCAAATTACTAATGAGATAGAGCATCTTTTTGTATCTTTATTGTCCACTTTGGTTTCTTCTGAGAATTGACTTTTCATATCCTTTATCTGTATTCTATTGGGTTGTCTCTTTTTATTGATTTTTAGGAGTTTATTGTTCTGAATATCAATACTGTGTCACTTATATGCATTGCAAACATCTTCTCCCAGACTATAGCTTGTATTTTTAAAATTTTTCCATGATGTATTTTGATGTATGGGAGGTTCTAAAAAATTTTTATGTAGTTCAATTTATCGATCCCTTGTTTTATAAGCTTTACTGTTGTGACTTATTTAAAAAATCCTCCCTATCTAAAGATCATATGCTCCTGTATTTAATTCTAAAATTTCTCAAGTTTTCCATCACATTTGGGTCTTTACTTATCTCATTTAGGACTGATCTTTGTGTATGAAATAAGAATTTATTTTTTTGTGTATATGGATAATCCATTGTCTCAGCACCATAAACCACTAGTCAATCCTTTTTCTACCCATTAGCAATTACACATCTGTCATCTATCAATTTTACTATGTACAAAATCTATTTTCTTCTCGATACTATTGTATTGGCCTACCACACTTAATTCTACATTGACTCAACACTGTCTCATTTATAATAAATTCTAATTTTCATATTGTCTTAATAATTTATGGGGCAATATCCTTTACCTTTCATGCTTATCTTTTGAAAGCAACAATTAAATGTTTTATATACAGTATAATAATCCTTATATTGTGACAGGTGAATTTAATCTATTTTCATTTATTATAATAACTAATACATTTAGACATATTTCTACCACCATATTTGTGTTTCCTATTTATCATTCACTTTCTTTATTTCTTTTCTGCCTTTTAAACATTTTTATATGTTACCTTTTTTTATTGCATTCTCTGTGGATTTGGATACTATCTATTTTATTTCTAACCTTAACTGGTTATATGTGGATATGTACTTAGCTATACATTTTCTTACAACAAAGTCTACGGTTATTCTGACTTTCTAGCATTCTTTCAGCCACATAAAGGGCCTTACATGCTTTAACCACCTATTCAACACTGTCACCTTCTAGCTATTCTTGTTTAGACTAAGTTAAACTTTTTGCAAAAAGAAAAACAATATGTTATTATTATTAGCTCATTGACGTTTCCTACATTGTTTATGAATTTTTGCATTCTTTTGTTTATTGTATATCAAGCCTTTCCTATGTTACCTTACCAAAGTGCATCCTTTAATAGCTATTTTAGCGAGAGTCCATGGTAACCCTCTTAATCTGTATATATTCTTGTTTTGACTTCTGTCTGAAATGATAACTTGGCTGGGTATAAATTTGAGTTTGAGGAGGATGTTCCTTTGAACTTTAAGGATTTTTTCTTTGTTTGGAGTATAATACCATTTATATAAGTTTAAAAACATGCAAAACAGCAGCA